ATAACGTACTAGAAATCTTGGCATCTTGAAGAAGTTCCAAGAGCTATGTCCCTTGCCTTTTGCTTTTCCTCCTAGTCTCTTCCCACCCTTTACTCTCCTGGGAGTGTGGCAAAGTAGAAATGCCTATAGGGCTCTGGAGCCAAGAGACCTGAGTTCAAGTGTGGGTTTCAAGTGTGGGTTTCATCTTGTTTCTAAAACAAGTCACGTAAGCTTCTTAGCAGTAAAATGGTGGCTTAAGCCTATTAGCAGTAAAACAATCCCCAGCTTGCTCCAGAATTGTTTGAACATCATCTGAGCTAGTGTATCTGAAAGTACCACCTGAGTGCTATTTGGTGACTTTAAACATTTATAGATACTCATGTTTTTCACTCTCAATTTAATGGGCAGGGAGGGGAAAAGTCACAATACTTTTCTCCCTGGGGGCCTGTAACTCCTAACTCTAATAATTGTTCTAGAATTTTGCTAGTCTTCTGCCCAAAGAGTCAGTGGCAGGGGAAGCTATTGGGCCAATTCATTTTTGGCAACTTCCTAGTATGCCTTAATAAAGGAGGGTCAAACCTTCTTGAGTAACTAACTCCTTTAGGAAGTAGGGGTATATCATGTCTATTATTCTCAGCTTTATATATATATATATATATATATATATATATATATATATTTTAAAGCTCTATATAATTCCCCATCCTCACTCCTTACAATTGGCCTGTCTAATAATTCAGATACACTAATATAAGAGAGGCTTTAGTAAGAGAAACTGAATGTGGGAGGACAGATTGTTGATTTTCAAGGTGACTGAAATCCTGTCCTAAAATTAACATTTGAAATAGCTGGAGATATTTGTCAAGAAGAAAAAAAACTTTAAGGAGTTTCGATAGCTGTGTTCAGATGTCTGCAAGGGGTGTGGCATAGGGAAGAAGCAGCAGGTTTCAGATGCTTATGACAAATAAATGTTATTTACAAGGAATCAGTATTTCATTCAAAATGCCAAAGACTCCCAAAGATAAAATGCACTGCTTTAGGGTAACTGGTCATGCTTTTTGCTCTCCTTGAATTTTAAAACACCCTTCCAATAATTGGGGAGTTTCCCAAATTATGAAACCCACATTCCCAAAGCAGAAGCCAAAAACCCTTTTTCACAGCGTCCCTTGAAGTACTTACCCCCAGGGTTCTGCCATTGGAAGCCAATATGAGACTGCACTTGGAGCCAACGTGGTGCCAATGTGAAAGCCATCCTGGTGAAATAGCGAAGAGATATCCAGCTTGTGGAAGCAGTAGCACAGTTGATCCAGCTCTGGTGTCCTGCAGAGCCTGTGTCCAATGGCAGAGACAGTAGGGTTGCCAAGTGAGCAATCCAGCCCTGAAATCACCTGTTCTTGCTTTCACAACCTCCCAATCCTGGTTCTCTGGACCCTCCTGAAGATTCTGTGAGTTACCTGACATCCTCGATAAAGTTCTTTTCTGCTTAAACCCACTGAAATGGGTTCTGTTGTACCTTTTCACATGGAGTATTGTCTTAGCAGCTAATTGGCATCAATTCTTTAGGAGGATAGTATTTGCTTTATGTGGGAAGTTGAATTAGTTCTGATCTCTATCAAATTTAAGATTCTCTGAATAAGAGTGGTAAGGGGACGGCAAGTAGGAATCTGGGTAAGTAAATTTGATTAGTGTCCTATAAAAAATTTGTGATTACTTCTCCACCACAGGTGATTTAAAAATTTAAGCAAGAGTATACAGAAGACAGTTAGGCCAAGGCTTAACTAATATTCCACCATTAGTCATATAATAATTCCTTTAGGTAAAGCACAAACCAATCAGTCCATTTTTACAATGGAAATATTTTGAAATGAGTCTATGATGATTCTACTGCCTTTGGTTTAGTGTATGAATTTCACAGTTATAAACTCAGGTGTGAAAAGATGCAAACTTTATTTCTCTATAAATCAAGCTGCTGTCTGATACAACCTCCATTTAAGTTGATGGGAGAATTCTAATCTACTCATTTTGAGGTCAGTTTCTCCAGTTCAGTGAGCCCTCAGTCTATCCAGATCTATAGTTTAGTCATATTCCAACTTAAAACTCCTGTTGACTTTTTCTTTTCCCTCTCTCCTTCCTAGGATGTAGTCTAAGTTCTGCCTCTAACAGCAATAAGGGGGATCAGAATCCTCTCCTCAGCTCAGTTCCTATGATGGAACTTGTCTCTGGTATACGCATCCTGGGTGTTGCACTTGGCTCGTGTGTAATTTCTGTTTCCCAATGTGGATCCCATCTGGTTGCCCACTGCCAGGAGACTGCTAAGATACGGTTCCTTCCTCCTCTTGCTCCAAGTCAGCAGTTTACATCTCAGCCTTTGAATGCATGTTTTCCACCCCTGCCTTACACACTGTCTATCTCTTTGCTTCTCCCATCTCCTCACAGAAGATTGGGAATTTCAGACTTCCTGAATGCTACAGGAAAGCCTCCGGAAGCTAGGGAGTAGGGTCATCCCCCTCCCAACCACGGATTCTCTAGATATCTGGGTCAATGGACTCAGGACTATTGACTGAGAAAGGTCTTGAGAGAAAAAATGATCAGGGCTTGCTGGTTAGTATCTAAAATAATTCATCCACCACATTTTATTGAGGATGGTCCTGAATTAAGCTATTTATGTTTTAAAAGTGAACATACCATTTTCTAGTTTTTAAAAAGCTGATTCTGCAAAAGCATTTTTGTATGTAATTAATGAGATAATTACCTCTTGGCTCAATGAAGAAAATACAGCAAGCGCTGAATGGGATATATTTCTATACCATTTGAAACTAATTAAACTTCTTTTATCTTTATAAAATATTTTTAATTAAAAAAGTAATACATATTAATTTCAGAAAATTTGGAAAACACAGAAAAGCTTAATATAGAAAAGCACAGAAGACACCCATGATAGTAATCACTTGTGACACTTTGAGATGTTATCCTTTCAGTTATATTTTTTATATTTTTGTATCTATATAATATTGGGAGCATATGCAAATTGAGATCACGAGCAGATCAAAGTGAAAGGGAAAAAACAGGTTCTTTTTCACTTCATAAAGAATTTTGAGATTTTTTTCCCCCATATCATGAAATAACTCTAAAAGATGATTCTCAGTGTATCATTTCATTAAATGGCTATCCCAAAATTTATTTACTCATTCTCATGGACATTTAAATTGTATCCAGTTTTGGACTTCCCTGGTGGCGCAGTGGTTAAGAATCTGCCTGCCAATGCAGGTTCGAGCCCTGGTCCGGGAAGATCCCACATGCTGCAGAGCAACTAAGCCCGGGCGCCACAGCTACTGAGCCTGCACTCTAGAGCCCGCGAGCCCCAACTACTGAAGCCCACGCGCCTAGAGCCCGTGCTCTGCAACAAGGGAAGCCACCCCAATGAGAAGCCTGCACACCGCAACAAAGAGTAGCCCCCACTCACCGCAACTAGAGAAAGCCTGCGCGCAGCAACAAAGACCCAACGCAGCCAAAAATAAATAAATTTATGTAAAGAAAAAATACCAGTCTCTGCTTCCCAAACCAAAACATCCACTACTGTGGACAGTTTAAGTAATTATTGTAACAAGAATATCTGATATGTCACTCCTTTGCTCTAATTCCATTAATGGTCCCCCCAACACTTCCATAAAAATATTTTTTAATCCTTCGAATAGCATGCAAGATTGTTCATGATTTCTTCTTTACCTATTCATGCAGTCTCATCTGTAGCCATTCTCTCCCATGTAAACTAAGGCCCAAGTAAACTAAATGACCTCCAGTTTCCCAAGTCCATTAAATGATCTTTGGAATGTTATGACCCAGGCTGCCAGCCCCCCACACCTGTTTGGCTGAAAATTTTTACTCATCTTTTAAGTACCAAGTTAATTGTTACCTCCTGTGAGAAATTTTTCAATATTCCCTTTTACACATTAATGGCCATGCCTTCCCATTGCTCTACCGCTGATCTATCATTTATTTCCCCAAGGCTGTCCTCATAATATACCCTCAAACTCTCCCTCTCCAAATTGGAAGTCACATTAATGTAGCTTGGATATTAAAATTAAGTATATCTATTTAAAGACTTCAAAAATTAGATGGATTTGTAAGTTTATCAGCAGACAGGACCTTGTAGTGAAAACTTCCCTGGTTACGCAGTGGTTAAGAATCCTCCTGCCAATGCAGGGGACACAGGTTCAAACCCTGGTCCAGGAAGATCCCACATGCCGCGGAGAAACGAAGCCTGTGAGCCACAACTACTGAGCCCATGTGCCGCAACTACTGAGGCTGCGTGCCTAGAGCCCGTGCTCCGCAACAAGAGAAGCCACCCAATGAGAAGTCCCCGCACCACAACAAAGAGCAGTCCCGGCTCGCGGCAACTAGAGAAAGTCCGCACTCAGCAACTAAGACCAAACACACCCAAAAATAAATAAATAAGTTTATAAAAAGAAAGAAAGAAGGAAAAGAGCATTGGACTAGAATTCAGAAGATTTAGGTGCTTCTGTTCCTTCTTTACCTTTTCTGGCCTCAATTACCTCCCTCATAAAGGAATGTAGCTTGACCTACAGCCCTAGTCTTTGGGTGGCAATTTACAGTTTATCTTCTTTTTTATTAGTCCAATCCAGCCCCCTTCATCTCACAGGTGAGGAAACTGAGTCTCAGAGATGATATATAATTTAAGTCAAGATACTATACAATTAATTAATGACTAAGGTAAACGGAATCTTGGGATCTTGGACCGGTGCGGACCAATGCTGACCTTTAAAAACATTCCCCGTCCTAAAATTCTTTAACCCGCCCAGTTAACAAAAGCAGACGAAATAAAGAAAAGCCAGAAGAGAATAGACTTAACGGAAACAAAAATAAGTGTGAAGCTCGAGCTTTCCACGAATGACAAGTGAACTTCCGGCCCTGGGTAAACTTCCGGAATCAACAACAGGGAGAGCCAATCAGAACCTTTCTCCGGGAGCCAATGGGCGAGCACATTACAAAGAGCCAATCGCAGCGACTCTGTCACTGTTATGGTCCTGTCAGAGCGCCGGCGTTGTGGTTTCTGGGCGGCAGTCACCGAGAGGACTTTGGTGGGGGACCCTCAGGGGCAGTCCCCCGGCCAGCTGCGCTCGTCTCCGGCCTCGTTCCCAGCCTACATATCTTGGCTCGCGGGTCGCGCCGTCGGGCGCGCGTGCTGGTCGGCGCCGCGGCCGCCTTGGGGCCTGGGCCCAGCCACAGCCTCCTCCTCCGCCGCGGGCTCGGTGGGGCCGCGAGATGCAGCCGCCGGGCCCTCCCCCTGCGTATTCCCCCACTAACGGGGACTTCACCTTTGTCTCCTCAGCAGACGCGGAAGGTGAGACTGAGCCCCGGGAGGGTACGTCGCCCTGGGGGACGCCGGGCGGACGCGGCAGTGTCTTTCTGGGGCCGAGGCGGTTGTGGCCCGGTGGGGACTGGCAAGAAGCTGACCCATGGGGGACTCGAGCCCTCTGCTCCCGCCAGGCCTTCCGAGAGGTCCGAGGGGCCGAGGGTGGGGTGTGGGGAACTTTCCAAGTGGCTCGGTCAGCTTCTGGTTTTCGCTACACCGTCTGGTGGCAGGTTTTTCTGGCGGACTTACCCACCTCGATGGCACTCACGGGACCCCAAGATTTTATTTCTAAAGTGACTTGGCGTTGCTCAGAAAGGGATGGTTAGATTGGCCGGGCTGGGTGTCAAAGAATGAGAACGAGGAACGAGAGCTTGTTGCTTTGTTATTTATCAGCACATAACTTTTTGCTGAGGTTAAATTAGGCGCTGCAAATACTAACTTCCCTCGAGGAGTTTGTGGGTTTTATGGAACCTGGTATCTTGCCAACGTTACAATTTTCCTCCTGTTTTATGGTGTTTGACCTCAATATTCAGAGAAGTAGACCCAGATATATTTGGGAACACCCAGCTGGATTACAAGAAGTTTCAGTTGCTTTCCAGATTTCCTTATGTACTGTTTTGAGGAAGCATTTGTGCTGGAGAGATTTTTCTACAGTACGGGAGAATTTGTTTTCCTCCTTTTCTCTGTACTTTACCAGACTCTTTGTAACTGAAATCTTTCTCTGTTACTTTTGTTAGACTTTGTATACCAGTATACCAGTAATTTTCCAGTGACCAGACTTAAGTGCTGGATATGGAAAAATAAGTTATACTTAACTATAGAAATTTCATTCTAGAGAAGGACCTAGTGTGTTTCCTGAGAAATCGAGTTTTGTAATGCATCAGTTAATATAGCTTACTTTCCCTTTTTCTGTTCTGCTTTCCTCGTTTTGGTTTTTGAATGGCATTGTTTAAAAACAAAAATAGTACTGTAGTTTTGGTTATATTAAAATGCAAAATACAATTTTTATCATAGAGAACATAGCTGATACATTTAAATGTTATATGGAAATTTGGTGAAATATAGCAACCCAAAATATTTTAGTTTGTTTCATCTACATTTGGTAGCCTAGTGCTTGGGGAGGAATAACCAACCGTAGTTTTCCAGACTTTAAGAAAAAATTGTCTGTATACACAAAACATTGAGTATCACAACATGATGTTTGTTCAGACTTATATATCTGTGTTTATAGTTCTAATACCCCCACTTCTTCCAGGAATTACCTTTCTTAAATATGCCTAAGAAATCTGGCAATAATATAACAAGCTAATCCATTGACTCCATATATTAAACCAAGAAACCTGGAATAAGTAAAATCCATAAGATTTATTCAGACTTCTCCATATAGCCTCCAAGAATGTATAGACTCCCTGTATATCCAGGGATATACAGACAAGGATAGATATTTGTATAATAATACTCTCAAGTTTATAACATTATACAATTGAAATTTACAGTATTTTAAGCAAACGGCTTGTTTGATCTTTCTAAGAATCCTGCTGAGCTTTATTATTCCTGTGTTTTATAGTGAACCTGAGGCTTAGAGAAGTTGAGTAACCTCCACATGAAGATCCGGAATTAAGAGCTAGTGTTCTGTTTCCTAAGATTTCTTTATACTAAACCATGATGCGTCTTACATATATTTTTGTAAACTGAATAGTGTATCTGAAGTATGGAGTCCTGGATTTGCATCCTGTCTTTACCAATTACTATCTTTGTGATGTTGGGCAAGTTACTTAATCTTTCTTAACCTCAGTTTTCATATACATAAAATGAGAATAATAATACCCAAGTGCTCAAACATTTTGCAGATGCAAAGCGCTTAGTACACCAGGAAGAGTTAAGTGCTCAGTATTTATTAGCAGTGTTGCTGCTGCTTTGGGTTTCAGTATTAATTGGTGCCACGGTTATTTTTTTACTGTTCTCTAACATAAACATTTGACTCTGCAACACCAAGTTTCTTCTCTGGTTCCTAAGCGTGTCATATAAATTCTTGCTTTTCCCCTCTTACGGTGTTTATCTAACCATGGATGTTTTTAGCTTGTAGAGGTTTTATTGTATACCTTGCTTCTAGACTCCTTCCAGGTCTCTTTCTCAGTGATACTTAACGTTACTAATTTGTACATGTCCTTTGTTCTAAAATGTGCCTTGGTGTTTGTCTCCATACCTATGTGTATCCAGGTCCTCATGCTTAGAATGCTTTTCTTCTTCTTACCCCAAGATGAAACTTTTTTTTTTTTTTTGCGGTACGCGGGCCTCTCACTGTTGTGGCCTCTCCCGTCGCGGAGCACAGGCTCTGGACCCACAGGCTCAGCGGCCATGGCTCACGGGCCCCGCCGCTCCGCGGCATGTGGGATCCTCCCGGACTGGGGAACAACCCCGTGTCCCCTGCATCGGCAGGCAGACTCTCAACCACTGCGCCAGCAGGGAAGCCCCCAAGATGAAACTTAAGGCTGAATTCAAATACTCCTTTCTTGCTGAAACTTTGCTTAACTGTTCCTCAGAAACAGAAATGTCCCTGATCTTTTCTATATCCCAGCACTTAGCACAGAACCCAGAATATTGACATCACAAAGTAATTGTTTGTTGAAGGAATAAATGATTTCTGCTTTCTTTTATCTCCTATGACATTGATACTTGGGACTATAAAACCTAGCACATTTTGGATGGTATAACTAAAAAGTTACTGGTTTAGAGCCAGAAGACTTCAGTTAAAGTTCTCTTACAGAAGCTATGTGATATTGGCCAAATTACATAGCTTCTATAAACTCACATTTTCATCCATAAAATGAAAATCACACTTATAAGAATATTGTGAAAATTACTTAAGGTAATGTGTATAAAAGCAAGGTCCATAAGTACAAGTTAAAAGAACGTAGACTAAAAAAAAAAAGAACGTAGACTATGTGAATAAGCTAGTAAATGAATAAATAAATGAATAATGAAATCCAGACTTAATATTCAGTTCTGTGGTGTAAAACTACATCCAAAAGCAGTAATGAAATGCATGTGTATAAATGCAAGAATGTACCACCGCAATGAGAAGCCTGTGCACCACAACAAAGAGTAGTCCCTACTCACCACAACTAGAGAAAGCCCGCACATAGAAATGAAGACCAAACGCAGCCAAAAAAAAAAAAAAAAAATAATACCATTAAGTATAATATAGAAGTCTTTAAGACAGTCCTTTGAAAAAAGAAAACCAAAACCCCACCAAAAAAAAAAAAAAAAAAAAGTAATACCATTAAGTATAATATAGAAGTCTTTAAGACAGTCCTTTGACTTTATTTTGTATCACAAATAAGTAATTCTTTGCCTGCTTTATTTCCACAGACCAGCAGCATTGGCATTACTGGGCTCTAGTAATGCAGAATCTGCCTTAATCATAATTTACATTTTGACAAGATCATCCTTAAGTGATTCATAAGCACATTAAAGCTTGCGAGGCACTGATTTATAATATTATGAAAGATCAACAAAAAGAGGAGGAAATTTTTTATAGCTAGAAGATCAGGGACAGTTTAATATTGGTCATATTTTGCCAAATTTTGAAAGGTAGGTAATGTTTTGTATATGTAGGATGGAGTATGTCCATATGCAAGGGACTGTATATGAGGAAGTCCCTAACCAAGAAATGGCTTAATAAGAATGGGATTTTAAAAAATTCATCATACATAATAAATGCTATAAAAAGGAGGTTCAGGAACTTCCCTGGTGGCTCAGTGGTTAAGAATCCGCCTGCCAATGCAGGGGACATGGGTTTGAGCTCTGGTCTGGGAAGATCCCACATGCTGCGGAGCAACTAAGCCCGTGTGCCACAACTACTGAGCCTGCTCTCTAGAGCCCATGAGCCACAACTGCTGAGCCCACGTGCCACAACTACTGAAGCCCACGCACCCAGAGCCCGTGCTCCGCAACAAGAGAAGCCACCGCAATGAGAGGCCCGTGCACCACAATGAAGAGTAGCCCCCGCTCGCCACAACTAGAGAAAGCCCGTGCACAGCAATGAAGACCCAGGGCAGGCAAAAATAAATAAATAAATTAATTAATTAAAAAAAAAAAAGACGTTCAAAAGTGGAAGTGGTTAACTGCAGGAAGGGATCAAGGAAGTCTTCAGAGACAGATGAGGTACATTTTGAAGGAAAAGGAGTTCTTCAGGTTGAAAAGAGGGAAGAGCATTCACTTAAAAATTATGCAAATGCAGTAATTGGTCGAAGCAGTCCCTGTAGTTTATACTTCTCAATCTTCTCAGACCTAAAACAATGCTGATTTAGACCATGAGCCCCTTGGGGTTAGAAGCTGTGTTTTACTGTCTACTGGTATCATACCCACTGCCTAGCACAGAGCCTGGTATATAGCAGGAACTTAATAAATGTTCGATGACTACATGATACTTTTTGATTAAGATAAAGGTGTTGTGCTGCTAGAACTGAAGCCAACACTAATTCAACAGAAGTCCAACAAGTAGTTGGAAAGGGCATGAACAGGGACAGCTAACCGAGAAAGATGATCTAAGCCACCCAATAGCCATTTTCCTGTCCTCATATTTTTCTCCTTCTAAAGATCATTTTATGTATATCAAAACATTCATCTTTCCTCCAAATCTTAAAGGAAACCTTTCTTCCTTTCCGAGGATAAGCCTCTACTAGTGCTTTTATTCGCATATCTTCTTGCCTCTTTTGGAACCTTTCTTTGTTTTTCTCTCTAGCATTTTTTATTTCTCCTGTTCCTTCCATCACTATCATCACTCATAGGTCCCCTCCTAATTGACAGAATTTTTAATTAAATCTACTACTTCCCTTTTTCCTTACTTTCACAGCTAAACTATCTCTGTTATTTCCTGTTTCCTCAGCATCCAGCAATTCCTACCATTCTGCTGGAACTTGACTTGCTTCCTGTCATCTACAGAAGGACCTTCAGGAGTGTTTCCCCAAGGGGAAAGGTTGCAT